CCTGTACAGTACACACTGCTCCTCGTGTCACATCCTGTACAGTACACACTGCTCTCCGTGTCACACCCTGTACAGTACACACTGCTCCCCATGTCACACCCTGTACAGTACACACTGCTCCCCGTGTCACACCTTGTACAGTACACACTCCTCCCCATGTCACACCCTGTACAGTACACACTGCTCCCTGTTAAAGTTGTACACCTCCCTGTGTAAACACTCTGAAGACTGTTTTGCTGTCTGTGTAGTGCAATCCTCAGTTTGAGTGCATTCCCTATTGAAGCATATTCTATCCATTATGCCTGCATTTACTGCAATGTACAGTGCACATGTCTTTGTGTAGCAAATTGTTCAATTTTTCCAGCTGCTTAAGTGACATTATGCATTAACACCAGCTTTATAAATGTTTTATTTGTCTTTACTTGTCCCCTTCTCCTGTTACAGTCTCTTCAGATTGGATACCACCCATCATCCGTCAGGGCCCCTCTAACCAGACATTCGCCGTTGACTCCACAGCACAGCTACAGTGTCATGTGATTGGGAACCCTCTTCCCAGTGTTCACTGGCTGAAAGATGGGCAGAGGATCCTGGGTAATGACCCTCGCATTAGCATGCTGGATAACGGGACCCTCCAAATTACTAATGTACAGGTAGGACCTAGACACTGTCAGCATCGAACATTGTATCAAACTTTTGGGACTATCATAGAATTTGGCTGCTCCTTCCTCATTCCCAATTTCTGGGAATTTTTCTGCATTACCTTTTCTCTGATATAAAAATGGAAAATGCCGGACAAAATAAACTTAATAGATCAGGGCATAGCGTGTGCAGAGAGAGAAACAATTAAAGTTGCAGGTCTGTGACCTTTTAACAAACGGGAAAAGTTTGAGATGCCATTAATCTGTGGTATTCACTAGCCCAGGTTGTGCTGGATATAGGGACATTGAGGAGGAGACAGACAGATTTTTAATTAGTAACATGAAGGATTATGGGAGTGGACAAGAAAGTGGAGGTGAGATTGTGATGACGTGATAAGATCAGCCATGATTGTTTTAAATGGTGGAGCAGGCTTATGGGGCTAAATTGCATTTCCCTTCTCCTACAGCATGGAAATAGACCCTTCGGTCCAACCAGCCCATGATGACCATGTTCTCAAACTAAACTGGTCCCAACAGCCTGTGCTTGGCCAATATGCCTACAAATCTTTTCTATTCATGAACTTATCGAAATGCCTTTTAAACATGGTAACTGTACCTGTATCCACCATTTTCTCTGGCAGTTCATTCCACACATGAACCACCCTCAGTGTAAAAAAAGTTGCCCCTCATGACCTTTTTAAATCTTTCTCCTCTCACCTTAAAAATATGCCCATAGTTTTGGACTCCCCCACCCTAGGGAAAAGACAGTTGCCATTCACCTAATCCATGGCCCTCATGATTTTATAAACCTCTATAAGCTCACCCGTCAACTTCCTATGCTGCAGTGTAAAATGTCCAAGTCTTTTCAGTCTATTTTTATGTGTCAAACCAGCAACATTCTGGTAAAACTTTTTTGAACAATGTCCAGTTTAATCATATCCTTCCTATACCAGAATGACCCAAACAGCACATAGTACTCCACAAGGATTCTTATGTTCTTAATTAATAAGTTTGGATCAAGATGGCATAATGACAAAGGGAAAGTCTGTGATTAAATGGAAGACAGGAGAGAGTGAACAATAGAAAGGTTAGTTCACCAGGGCCATGGGGAATGGAGATGGGGCAAGGATAAAAAACAAAGAAACAACATTACCAGAGTAGGAATGTTGGGAACTGACTGACTTACCGTGGAGCCCCTGACTGTACACACTGGACCTGCGGGACTGACCATGGGCCAATGCCATAACTGTAGAGATATGGACGGGCCGTGACCCTGAACGCCCCAAGCAGTGATCCAAGCACATCCAAATCCTTGGACTGTGATTGGGCAATGTCCTTGATTTATTGTGACCTCATGACAAAGGCAGCCCATCCCACCTTAATACAACTGAGGACTCCTTCACTTAGACTTTGAGACATGACCATTTGCTTGATGTACGCACAATGTGTTTGACGTAGTTTTAATGGCACAGGGTGTGAGACTAACCTGGCATAGCACTGTATAACGACATTCCAATCTCTTGACTGATATTTTCTGACAACTATGAATAGCTGCTGAGCTTTATGTTTACGCCAAGCAGCATGCCAAGCAGGAGTGCTGCGAGTCTTTAAAGTATACCAGGGTTAGGGGGGGGTGCAAAGTTCCAAAAGATAAGGATGCTATGAGCATCAGAGTTGGCATAAAGTGAGCACCATGAAGGCAAGTGAGCAGCCCTGAGATGCATATTGGTCCAACCCATGAGATGGCTTCTTGTCCCTGTGCGCAAAGCGAGATGTGCATGAGAGGTGCTGATGTGCTCCAAAGTGCAGCATTGAAGTGCAGAACCATACTGAAATGGGTCAGAGATGTGCATGAAGATGATGCAATGAAGCTAGTGCATGTCAGATGTCAAGGTTCTTGGGGCTTGCCCTGAGATGATAGTGCCAGGTCTCCAAGATAGAGATCCAGAGGATCAAGTGGTGAGCTGGAACTGCCAGGTAACTGTCATGTCGGGAATTGTCGGTGTCTAGTTTCTATCCGATAGGCGGGCAAATGGGAAACTACATATTAATGAGTTAAGATTGGGTAATAATGAGGTGTTAATGCATGCAAATAGAGCTCTCAGCATTCACTAGAAAGAATCTTATCCCACTATTATCTACCTTAATGTTTTTCAAGACACCGATAACTCCTTTTTAATATTGACATGCCCCTCCCTAATCTTACCATCAGCCATTTCCTTCTCCTTGGTGAATACTGAGGCAAAATACTCATTAAGGACCTCTCTCACTTCCTCTGCTCCTATGTGCTCCACGCATATATTCCCTCCTTTGTCTTTGAGTGGGCCTTTCCTTTCCCTAACTACCCTCTTGCTCCTGGTATACCTAGAAAATGCCTTGGGATTCTCCTTAAACCTACTTGCCAAGGACATTTCATGGCTCCTTTTAGCCTTCCTTATTTCTTGTTTAAGTTTTTTCATGTTTCCTTTATATTCCTCAAGAGCTTTGTCAGATTTCAGTTTCCTAACTTTACATATGTTTATTTTTTAAAATTTTTGAATGAACTTTCAATATGTCTTGTCATTCAGGTTTCCTGAATTTTGCTGTCCTTATCTTTCATCCTTGCAGAAACATGCTGATCCTGAATTCTCATCTACTACTGTTTGAAAGGCTCCCACATGTCAGATATGTATTCACCCTGTAACCGCTGCCCCCAATCTAATTTCTCCAGCTCCTATCTAATACTATGGTAATTAATCTTTCCTCAAATTAGCACTTTCACCCAAGGACCAGTCTTATCCTTATCCACAACTATTTTAAAACTTACAGAATTATGTTCACTGTTCCCAAAATGCTTCCCTGCTGAAGCATCAAGCACTTGGCCAAGCTTATTCCCCAGTACAAGGTATAGGATATCCCCTTCCTTAGACTATCTACATACTGTTTCAAGAAACCTTGTTAGATGCACCTAAGAAATTCTGCCCCATCTAAGCTCTTAGCACTAAAGGAGTCCTTGTCAATATTAGGGAATCCTGTTACAGTACTCACACTAAAGAGAATTTCATTCTCAATCATATCCATGGGGCTTAATTAACGAATGCTTAAATTTCTGGTCTTCTGAATTTGATGATCTCTTTCTTGACTCTTCATACAGTTGAGTTTAGACTTTCTCAATTGCAAATTATCCCTTTTGGATAATAAATACACACTTATGGAAATTTCAAACTAAAATGCTTACACTGAGGCAACCTATTTCTTAGCAATTCTAAACTATTTCCCTTTTACTGGAGAAACTGTTTGCACATTTAGCTTCAACCGGGACTTCTGGAAACCCAAAACCAAAAAGGTTTTCCTCATTATTGGCGTTTTCCTTAAGCCAAACAACAAACCCCATGATTCAGGATTCTTCTAATTGAAGCCTGATGCACTATTTACTTTCTTCACCTATAAACCCTCTCCCAATATAAACAAATTCCCAGTGTCCTCCAAATACAATAGCTCTCACACTTGTCTTTAATAAGTCATGGTTTCAAATGCCTTACAAGTTAATCATGAAACCCCTTCATAGACATAAAACATAAGCCATGTGCCACTAGTTCAAAATACAAACTCTAAACTGTGTGTGTTTATTTTATATATATAGCGTTCAAGAAGCACCTAGACGAACACATGGCTAGAAAGGGAATAGAGGGATAAAGTTCCTGTAAGTGAAGACAGCTTTAATATGGAAGGGTAAAATATGTCAGTGCAGGGCTGAAGGGCCTGTTCCTGTGCTGTATTGTTCTTTATTTGAGGCCTTCATTTCCACATAAACTCCTGTTGGAATGTTGTCTGATACACAATCCCCTGGCAATACCCTGCCTCACCTCCCTTGCAATGTTGACAGATTCATCTATCCCCCCCATACTGTTACAGCTCCAAGAACCCAGACTCCCCAACTTGATTGTGATTTTCCACACTGTTTCAATTTTCTAACATTGGGCTGATATCAGTTTATTCAGTATTAGAGGTGCAGAATCCCTGGAGTATTCCATTGGGTGCACATCACAATCACAGGTTATTTATTTCCAGTGATAGTCCGAATGTCAGCCATATCAGACCCACTTCTAGGTTCCACTCCCTCAGCATAAATTTGAGCACAAAATCCAGACAACAAACCAATGTGTTCTTTCTTGCACTTGACAGGCACCTTGATATTAATACTTGGTCATGTTCTATTTAAATTTATGTGAAAAAAATTTGCAATGGGATGAATTAAAGCTCTTCCTGGGTGAATAATCTGAAATAATCTGAATGGGTTTCTTCATTTATAACTGTCTTGCGACGTGGCATGACAAACAAATTAATTTGAATCATGTGATATTCTGTAACTATCAGAGTTCTATCATTGCTATGTAAGCCTGACTTCTCAATTGTGTGGAAGATTTCATGTACCTATCATTCTCGAGGTGTTCTATGGTTGTTTAACATTAGTATAGATCTTCTGATTGATGCAGTTCATGTGTGAGGGATTAATCTACCTTTGCTATGTGTGGTATTTCTATAGAAGCTCTAACTGTAGTTTAACATCCATATAAAAACAACACACGAAGAAATACATTAAGAGTGTGTGATATGTTGGTCTTTGCAAATTGTAACATCTAGTATTATGTGTTATATTTTACTCATTCATCTTTAGGTGCAAATGCAATTCCTGCAGGTTTTATACTCAATATTCCACTTGAATTCCTTAATGCTTCCATGAGTATTGTGTTCCCTGTGATATGGAGTGGATAACAAGACATGCAGATCAGTAAGACCAGTCCTTGCCATTATTTGCTGCCCCATTTGGAATATATCAAGTGATTATTGTTTTCACTGGCTGTATGCAATGCTTAAACTATCAAACTGGACTCCAGACCACAAACCTGAAAATTATTTACCTGAGCCAAGGCAGTAATCAGCACAACTGATGCATTTACATTAATCTTTGTTCCTCTTTGCAGTGGTAAAAGTGTCTCTCCCTGAAGAATTTATCAACACATATTGAGGTT